TGAAGATGGAGGCAGTGCACAAATAGGTCACTTCCACGAGAAGTCCCTTAGTCACTTGTGCCCAAGTTCTTTTGACCAGCTGTGGAAAGGAGGCAAAGGTAGCCTTTCTCCTGTCTCACTCCCTCTGCAGCTGGGGTGGGACATGGAAATCTGTAGATGTTGATGCAGCTGAGTGCCTGTCTCCTCCTGCCTCTGCTGTCACCTTGTCCTTGAAGGTGTGTTCAAGAGGGCTGTGAACCCTTGGCCTTCCTCCTGCTGCTACTTAATCTGTCCAAGGCCTCAGGTTGTTTCCCTTCATTATTTAGGCCCCTCCTAGCAAAGCAGGGAATGATGCTGCCTTCTTGGTGTAAAATCATGTCCTTGTCAGACCTTCACCTGGGTAAGAGTCACAAAGGCACAAGGTCTCTTCTGATTGCTTTTAACTACCACCTGCCAGCAATCTCTGTTATTTCATTTGCGGTCTCTCCATCAGTGTCCTGCTTCTCTTGCCTGCCAGTCTTGGCCTTTTTACTCCTGACTCTGTCAGGGCAGTGTCAAGCTGCTGGGTGACCCTTTCTGCCACCTCCAACAAGCCTTTCCAAATATAAGGGCCTCTTGATGCTGCTGAGAGCCCTCCCCAGGGGCAGTGTTTGGGATGCTCTGCACTGTAAGATGAGGGCACAATTCCTGCCTCTGTCCACAACTCATCCACCAGCTCATGTCTGTCCATCTGACATCTCTTTAAGCAGCAGCTTCTTGGAAACAGTGCATGGGGCAGTTCCTGTACTCCCATATGATGTTTACCATGTGGCTTTAGTTAACTGGCTTGGCTTCCTCTCAGCAAAGCAGGAGTGATGGTGCCTGTTTACCCTGTTGCATAAGGGTGACATGAAGCTGTAGTTAATATTCTCCTCATGCCATGTGAAGGCTGGGATCTCATCTGCCAGATCTGTCAGCCTCAGTGCTGAGCGATGTTTTCAAGGAAAATAAAAAAGATCTGAAGCCCTCTGGAGCTGTTTCCTTGAAGTCCTCTAGACACAAGTGCTTTCACTGCATTTTAAAAGTGCATCTAATGCCGCAATGTCTGGCCAAGGCACATCAATAACAGAAAGGGAGCAATAAACCCAGAAGGGATACTCTGCTCTCCACCCACTTTGGATTAGCCATGATGAAATTCACTCACATGAGCAAAGTAAAGCTGTGATGAGATTTGTGAAAAGGACAGACCATATGCACATAGTTTGGGAGTTAACTCCATACACACAACTGCCTTTTCTCTTCCAGAACCAGCCACTGTGTGAGAAATCTGGGGGGCTTTCTGTCACAATTATAAAGCTGTGTCTACTGCCTGCCTGCTTTGTGGATTCAGGTTTGATCCTTTGGATCAGGATCAAACCTTTGGATTGCTCAGGAAAGGAAGTAGTTACAGCTCTGGGGATGATGCAAGTGGAAGATACATTAAGGTTCCCTGACATTGTCTTGCCAAGACAGTTCAGTAGTAATCCAGAGTTTCCTGATCACAGTACCAGACTGTGATCCAGCTCTCCAGACAAAGGCTGTCTTCACCTGATACCCTTCTCCCTCTCTGCTCTGAACTGCAGCCCAGTGTGTCTGGCCCTCAAAAAATAATACACCCTCTGGGTCCCACCCTGTTCTGGCAGCAGATGGTGACAGCTTTCTTGAATTCAGCACAGCAGGAAGCCCCAAGAATTCTGAAAACAAGAATTAATAACATCTAAAAGTTCTGCATCTGTCAAAATGCCACAGAAGTGGCACTGATAGCCTAAAAGATCTGTGTATGAAGGAGCATTTCTTAATTCATTAGTCTTTACACAGTAAACATCAATTTAATGAGGAAGTGAAGCTGGAGTTATACAACACTCTAGGATGTGTTCTGCTCGTTAAGTGGGAGTGATCTATACAACTGTAAAATGGTGCTAAAACTAAATTCCCTCTAGGATATAAAGGACTGAAAATTGTGCACTAGTTATGCTAGTCCCTGCTGCAGAAATCTTATCCTCCAGCTTTTGAGCTTTTAATTTTAAAACCCTCAGATTAAATCTGCAAGAGCTCATCTTCCTGGTTTGGTTAGGCAGCCAACCCAAGTGGGGCAGAGCCAGTGGGGTGCAGGCTGTTGGCTGAGACAGGATTTTGCAGGAAAGGAGCCCCTTCCTTTCAGTGTGACAAACTTTTCTGAGTATCACCTGGGCTGCTGAAATAGTCTCTTTGGGTGACTGCACAGCTGGGGATTGTAACCCTTCCTTCTACATGGCATGTAGCCACTCCAAGGAACCCACAGGCAGATCCAAGAGGGCATGCTGCCTCCCAGCTTCACCTTCAGCAGTTTAGTCAAGCACAGAAACCAGACTGAGCCTGGGCTGGATGGCTCCTGCTCCCTCCAGCTGCTGTTGCATTGAGTTCATGGACCTGCACTGAGCTTTCTCCTTCCATATTTCTGTATGGGCTCTACCTGTGTACTGAAACAGCAGTGCTTGAAGAAATGGATCTTATCCTGTTTGCTTTACCAGTTCATGGGTGGCTCAGGTTTGTACCTGCTGGATGTGGGTCCCTCTGACTGGGGATGTAACTACTGTTAGTTTGTTTGTGACCCGCTGGTTTGGCAGTGGGGACAAACACCTGGTGTGTGATCCCACTCCTGTACTGCAGGTCCTCTCCATCTCCCATAACACATCTCCATAACAGCCCAAATGTGATTAAAACCTGGCAGATGCTCCAAGCTCTCTGTATGGCTGGGCTTGCTAATTATCTCCTGGACCTATCTAACATGCTGCCAGAAAGTAGAAATTGCATTTCAGAGAACAAGGGAGTCCAGCATCAGCTCTGTGAAAGCCAGATGCTAAAGCCCAGGAGGCTGCAAAAACGAGAGGATAATTTGGTTTCTGAATGTGGTCTCCATGCAGAGATTCCTCCCTCCTGTCCTTAACCCCCATGAGATTTTAGAAATTCCTTCAAAGTCTTGCTGCTACACCTATGATCTTTACAGGACCTCAGTAGCAGGAAGGGTGCAAGCCAAAGGCATAGGGTTTGAGACAGACACTATAGTAAAATACTCCCACTAGCAGACAGAGGGAAGTGGAGAATTTGGATCATGTAAAACAGCCTACCTAAACAAACTTTAGGCCTTGGTATCTCCAAATGAAACAGCTATTTCTTGCCTTCCTGCTCCTGGCAACACCCATTTTCTTGCAGCAGCCTCAGATGCCAACTCTGCAGGCGTCTTGTGCTGCAAACTGCAAAACATTTCATCTTCACACTTAAAAGAGGAATCTCTGCTGTTAAATATTTAATCAAAACTAATTTGTGCTTTATGTAACACATCGTAACTGGGTGTGGTAGCCAGGCAGGGCAGCCCACTTTAGACCTATATTTCCCTGCATTGCACATTGCCTTGTTGCCCTCTCCCTGCTTGTGCTCACAGATGTTCTGTACCTGGCCAATACTTGGGGCCTGACCCCTTTGTGTGGGGTGCTCACTGCACCCACAGCTTTTCCTCTGGCCACAAACATCCTCTCTGTTGTTACTAAGTGGTGGGTTTGCAGCAGTTTGCAGTCCTCTGCTGTCCCCAGGCTGTGCAATCCCACAGAACACTCCCAGTTTGACCTTCATCCTGAAATCCAGCAGGAGAAGAGGTTTGCCTACAAGCAGGAGTTTGGAGTCCTGAACTTCTTATCTTTAAATTTATCTTGGGAAGGGACAGGGATGAGGACAGAACTGCCATCTATATCCTGCATCTGCAGGATTCTGCAGGATCCTATGGGAAAATGTCATGGAATGGGTCTGGAAAAGGACTCACTCAGCTCTCAAACCTCAGCCTTGTTCTGTGCTGTGGCTGCTACCTGCAAAGCAGCACAAACAGTCCTGCCCTGCGGGGAGCATTGGGAGTGCTCAGCTTCGGTGGCAAAGTGGGGCTACAGATGCAAGAGGCAGATGGCCTGGAAACCATGGTATTAGGGATTTTATTCCTTAAGATGCATTGGGAACCTGCCTCTGAGTCAGAATTAGAGGTATGATGGAAATGTCAATTCCCATGGGGGATTTTAAGTTGCTGGCACACACATCAAAGACTGAAAGCATCAGAAAAGCCCAAGGCCCTTCTCAGAGTGCTGCTGATTTTGCATTTCTTTTTATCCAATCCTGCATTTATTCCTGTGAAGCTAATGGGGATGACATGAGCTCTTTTCTTAGTCACTTCTCTGTCTTTTCTTCAGCAGTGGTGATCTGTGTAACAGTAACAGGGTTTGCTCCAAGAAAATGACAACAGGAGGAGTGGATTTAAAAGACATGGGGATTGCTCTTTATCTGGGCAGAAAAACCAGCAAGTGTCAAGGAGGGAACAAGTGTGGGTGTCTGAATACACTTCTAGTAGTGAAAAGCAGCTGCCATCCAGTAGCTGTCAGTGACCAGCAGCTCTGAGTTGGGTTCTCTGTGCATCTGCCATCCCAGGGCCCTCTCCAGGTGCTGGCAGAGGAGTGGGAGGTAAGCAGGATCGGTCACCTCTCTGCCAGCCACCCCAGAGTGGTTCCTGCTGAATGGGGTGATCAGCTGGAGGTAGTGCCTTGTAGTGGGACACTTCTCCCATTGTCAGGGAAACTCCAAACTAGGATAGGGTGTGATACAGAGATGGGAACAGCTCCGTTTGGCACATGGGTGTTTTTGCAGGCTGGTAGCCCTGGCCATGCTCCTGAGGCCAAACACCCTGCAAGCCCTGCAGGAGGCTTGTCTGTGCTGTGCCCTCAGGGGATTGATTTCAGTGAGCTTTAGAGAGGGTGAGGAACTGTAACACCACACAGAAAGGAGCAAATGGCAAAACAGATCCAAGAGAGGAGTGCTGAGCTGGGTTTTGGAAGAGGCTGCACCACAGATGCTGTGCACTATTTTCAGTCCTGCCACTCTCTGAGGAGGGTAGTGGTGGCAGGCTGGGATGGTGCTTGGCTGCAGCACCATTTGCCCAGGCAGATCCCCCTCTGTGCCCATCCACACAGTCCCTGCCAGGCTCTTACCACACTTGGGACTTCCTGCGGGGCATCCCGTGCCGGTGCCATTTTGAGTGCGGGGTCAGGTGGTAAATCAGCTGCCTGCAGATCCTGTCTGAGGATTTCCAGGGGTCATATTCCTGAAAGCAAAGGGACAACTTAGACTGCCTGCACCATAGCAGAACATGAGAAAAGGAAGAGGGCAGAGGAAGATGGGAAAGGAATAAAGATGGCAGTGGAACAGGGTCATGTATGTAAGGGAGGCAATGAAAAGAAGAGAGAATGAAAGAGGAAAGGTGAGGCCTGAGATGCTTCTGCCACGTGCCAACTCCTCCTGGGGGGCAGGAGGAGTTCTGCACTGCCAGAAGAACCCCAGCCCAGCCCCATGTTCCTGCCCAGAGCAGGGCTACAATTTCACAGCCTACCCAGGAGCAAGTGAAACTCAAGAGGGATTCATTTTCTAGGGCCGTGGCAGGGGTGACTGACAACGCTCTGTTGCAGGGACCCCTGCGCTGCCAACTCCTTGTGTTACAGGACAGTGCTAAATTTCTATTAATTACCTTGTTGCCATGCTTCCCCAAAGTCTGTCTCGGGGCTATCTGATACCCTGATGTGGACAGGTCAGTAACTGGCACCCCTGCCCCATGCCCAAGGTGCTTCTTGCTCCTCTTGCAGTAGCACACTGACTCCACGACCTCCTGTGCTCTAGTTGGGAGATGTCAGGACAGGGAACTTTGGCTACTTCCCCACAGTCCATCTGACTTCCATGCAGTCCACTCTGCTACTGGAGGTTTGAGTTTGGGAGCTTCCAATGCCAGCAGTTCCCTCCTCCCCCTGTACTAACTCATCAGGAAAAGAAGGCACCCACATGGTTGCTGCCTTCCTGGGTTATTTTTGCACGTGTTCTTTAGTGCCATGAACTTGGAACAGAATATCTTCCTCTGGTGAAGCACAATGGCAAATGGCAGCTGCTGAAAGCTGGGACTTCTGCCTTCTCGATTGTATTTTCCAGTTGCTGACAGACACCTGCATTCCCACCCCTCAGCCCTCCAGCCATGGTGCCACATGTGCATTTAGGGATTTGATAGGTGAACATGCAGTAAAGCTGTCAGGGAATGCACTGATTTATTCCTTACTGCCAGTGGCTAAAGCACTGGGGGCCAACAGCTGCACTGTGACTTTGCTCAGCAGTCCTGAATCAGCTGAACTCCCCAGGGATGCGCTGCCTGCGTGTGGCAGTTCTCCTGTGCCAAGGGGAGAGGGATCCCAGCCTTCTGCTCAGCTGAGCATCCCCTGATCCCCATCCCAGCTTCCCTAGGAACCCCACGGGGACTGGCCCATGCCTTTGGCTTAGGTGCCTTGTTCTAGACTCCTACTGTGCTGGCAGGGCTGCAGCTGGCACTCTGCTGTCACCTACAGCAGCAAACCTCTCCAAGTGGGTGCACGTGCCCACCAGGCTCCAGTACAGCAGCTGGCACAAAGCTCTGCGAGCGATTGTTGGCTCACAGCTGAGAGTTACCCTCCTGTTCTTTCCTGTGTCCTCACTGATTTAATTTCCACTGACAGACTGGGAATTGCACTCAGCCTGCTTTCCTGTAATGCAGTTACACCCACCAGATGCTCAGCCAGGGTCGGAGAGGGGACATGGGCTGGCATTGTTCTGGGAAGGGTGCTGGTGCTACTGAAATTCTACAACCACGTAATTAAACTTCTGTTGGCTTTGAAGGGCAATTCAGGTGCTCAGCATCTTCCTTAGGAATGGGGAAAATAATTTCTTATGTAATGGGACTTGTGTCACTGCATCCACAAAGCATGAAACTACAGTGAGGGTATAAGCAGGTGTATGAAAAAGGCAATGTCTTATCTGCCAAACACATGGGTACTGGATTAGAGTAAGATCCCCTCCTGCTGCCTGCCCTGAGGGGCACTGCACAGCACAGGCTTGGAGATGGTCTGGTAGAACAGCTGGAGATGAGTTCAAGTGAAGTGTGGTTAAACAGATACTACTGCTACAACCCACCCCTTCCTTCAGATGCTTACATGAATTACACAGACATTACACTTGGAAAGATTTTTTTTTTCCCAGGCTGCTCGGCAGCCCAATAATGATGATTAAACTTTGGCTAAATGTAGTTTGTCTATTGAGACATGACTGGTTAATTGTAATCAGTGAGCCTCAGGAGATGGCAGAACAAGGTTAGAAATGCCACTAATCTACACCAGGCATTCACTGTATTCCCTGTGGCACTGCTGCTTGCTCTGAGCTGTGTGTATTTAATATCTCTCTTTGAATAAAGAAATTCACTCTATTCCTCTCCTTATAAAGCAAGCATGACATTTGCCAAGCCTAACGAGCAAATGGATACGTTGCAAATCCAAGTGTTTGTGGTGGCAAAGAGTAACAGAAATAGATGCTGGTTGTTGCAGTGGGACTGGGACATCTGTGATGTTTGTCTGCTCTCAGCCCTGTCTTTCTGTCTCAGCTCTCCTCATCCTCTGAAGGAAAGTGCTGGAGCACGCAGGAATACCGTGCACATAACACATTTACCTCCTGAAACCCCAGTGGTAATATTATTCCTACAGCACCATTCTTTACAGGGAACTCTGAGAGTTTATGGGGGGAAATAATGCTGGGTTGAGGTAGTTACCTATGGCAAAGGGCCCAGGAAGAGAAAGCTGCTTTTCCTGCAGAGATCTCTGCTCTCCTCTGCAGCCCCATGAGCCCCCCATGAGCTCTAGTTGCTTTGAACCCCTGTGATACCAGTGATTATGTCTCTCTGCTCTGTCACTAATTTACTATGGGCACAAAAAGTAGTTTCCTAATATCTGTGCATATAATCACCCCCTTCTTCAGCTACATTCATGTTCTGAGGTAGCTTTAACTGATTTCTACAGAAGTATGCCCCACAATCCATATGCAGCCACTCCCAGGGCACACACTGCCTGCCTCTGGAGGATTGACTGCAGCACCAGCTGCCCCAGCAGGGCTCTCTGCATCAGTGCTGTGCCACAAAGTATTCACTGAGCTCAGGGAGAATTCACCTTTTTGGGACATTGCAGATCTCTAGCAAGGCTCATCAGCAGGTCATGGGAGATTGGATCCACCAAGTTGAGGAAAGTTGCATTTTTGTAGAGCACTTCATTGAGAAATGTTCCTTCCAGTCCTAGGTCCTACAACAAAAACAGACAGTCAGGCACACAGGCTTCCTCAGAGCTATATCCATGGGATGTTCTGAAATCAGAAAGTAAATCTGATGTGGTGCCAGCCAGATGCCCAGTACAGGAAATTACCCAGCAGAGGTGAAGCAGCCGTGTCTGAGCCAGCATTACTGTGCTGGGGGTGCAGGCAGCCAGAGAATGAGATGCAGTGTTAATTTGAGCTAGTCAGCCTAGGGCTGACCACCTTATTTCCACCTACCACAGGAAGGTGAGAATTCTATCATTTCCAGGCTGGCTGGAGCCTGCAGAGAATTAACTTCAGAGAAACACAGTTTTGTCAGCCTCTATGTGTGAATCTGCTGAAGAAGCCAAGCAGGAAGGCTGGCTCTAAAGCTGCTTCTCCAATCTCGGCTTTTCTGGAAGAATCAGACCTTTCTCAGGTATTTAGATGTTGCCATATGCCCTGGTGGTGGCTGGCTGAGCTGAAGTCCTGCCCATCTGTATGAGTTTTTAGCTGTGCTGTGAATTTCTCAGTGAGAACTAAGCACTGGCAGTATGGGGTGCAATGGTAAATTTAGAGGTGGCTTTACACCACAGTCAGAGGAACTCCTCTTCCATCTTCCACAGTGTGAATTAGGGGAACCTCTGTGGTCTGTGCAACTTATCTGTGTGGATCAGGGGATGGAGCACCTTTGGAGGAAACCTCAGCATCTTTGGGAACAAAAAGCCTCCCCAGGGCCAGATGGATGACACTGCAAAGAACTAAGCTGTTTCTTGCAAAGAGGAAAGCAAAGAGCTAATATACTGACACAGTTATTACAATCAGAAGGTACCACAGAGCTGTGAAAAACAAACTAAATTTAAAAAAAAATGTGGGAAAGAGAGATCACATATCCACATGGAAGTGTCACAGGGGCAAAACAAAAATACCCTAGGAGTAGAAATGTAGAACAAAAAAACTCCCTAGTAAAGATAGTGCTGGGTTTGATTCAGTTGATAAAGAGGGCTCAGCTAAGGGAAGAAACAAGTCTTCTCCCCATTCTGTATGTGGCTGACAGGAGAAATGAATAAGCAAATGGGTGCCCCATATGTTCACACTGCTCTACTGAGTGTGTGTTTCAGGCACCACCCAGTGACTGAGAGCTAAAAAAAATAAATGGAGTGAGATGGGGAAAAAAAGCTGGATGTATGCACATACATCACCAACAGGGACAGAGCCATAGCTGGCAGAGGTTTGGGATCTTAACTCTAAGCATCAATCAAAGCCAGTGTTTCATCCTGCTCTGGATATGCTGGATTGAGCAGAAAGCACAATCCCAAAGACAACCTGGCTAGAGACATAGAAAGGGAGAATAAATGAAATACTTTACAGCCCCATCACTCTGTGGACACAAATGACACCCGTAAGCAGGCAAGGAACCCAAGCAGTGGATCACTCCTGAAGGACAGACAGCCACAGCTGGATATGGGCCAGGAGCCTACCAAGGCATCATGCCAGTGTCTCCCTTAACCATAAGGCTTCAGGGAAATGGAGCCTCCTACACCAAGTGTAATGTGCACAGATGAAGCAAGCTGCCGTGAGGATGGCATGGCTGGGCATGCAGCAGTGGATGTCAGAGCAGTAATTAAACTCCCCCAGTTGGAGCTATAGCATTAAGATGAATCTGCATTCCCATTATAAATCCTGCCTGTGAGGGTTTTGTAAGTAATATAGCTGTAAATATTCACTTCACATTGATATTCCATAAATTCTTAGCCCAAAGGCATTTTCCAGCTCCTCTTACTTAGTTCCCTATCTCCCTCCCTCCCTCTCTCATTTCTTGGAAAATTTTGTACCACCTAAAGGGTGGCTGCAGACAGCAGAATATTATAACTCTTGCCATTTCAGTTGGCTTACTGCTGTTGTCTTAAAAATGACACTTTGCCGTTGTCTCAGCACAGGGGAAACAGATTATACCAGACTTTTTGCTGGTGTAAGTCTAATGTCTCCCTGGGCTTCAGCTGAGCAACACCCACCTAGATCAGCAGGAAAACTGATCTGGCTTCTGCTGGTGGCCATTTCTGGGATAGATGATGTGCAATGGAGCTGTCCAAGTGTTCATGTATAAAGCACACGTGCACCTGTGGTTTGCAGCTGTTCTCCATGCAGTCTTCTAAAACGCTGGGATCTCACATCTCTCATAGTGGATCTGCTTGTGCCTGGCTTGCTTGCTTTACATTATCACAGCCTCTGAACATCCTAGGAATAGTGTGCAGCCTTTTGAAGTCTGCAGACCACAGGTCAAAAACCACTGGCAGAAACACCAGCAGGGTACACCTGCAGGGCTGGGCACGGGGAGTGTGTGCTGGGAGCAGCAGGAGCCACACATGGGATCCCGTGTCCTCCGGTCTGGCTGAGCTGTCTGCTCACCTGAGGAGGCTGCAATTCCAGTCCCACCATTTCTCTGCCTTCCCTGGGGTGTTTGCACCCTGGCCCAAGGCACAGTGATGAGGTGTGGTGTTAAATATCCTTCCTGTCCACTAGAATGAACAAGGTATCTCTCTTTTTACAGGCTACAAACAGACCCTCACCTGGGACACATTAATCCGTGACTCCCAAGAGCGCGATACTGCCAAGGTAAGGGGTGAACGCAGTTGTGGAGTGAGGAAAATTTGCAAGTTAGAAAAAAGGCTGATGTGAAGGTGACATTGGACATCTGAGGAGGACTGGTGGTGATTACATGACTGGGTGGCAGCTGGGGGTGTGGTACATGTTAGTGGTATAAACCCTCTGTCTCTGAATCCTCAGAGCACTCAATGAACCAGAGGCTTTGGGGTGTTGCTGCATGGGTTTCCATCTTGCTTGGCAGAAGATGTTGTGATTACAGGATGCATGTCCCACTGTCCTGTTGTGAGCAGATGGACAGACAGTCACTGTTTTAACATGGGGAGGCAGAGATGGGGACCAGTAATAACATGGGGAACTGGAAAGGCAGCAGGCAAAATGTGAATGTTCAGGACATGGTAATTCTCAAGCACGATGTGGGGAAGCCAAGTGTTTAACTGATCCTGAAAGGAGCTTAGAAATGACCCTCCATTCCATATGGCCCTGTGACTTAGCACTCAAACCCTGTCTGTTCACAGATGGACCTTCTGGAGACCTCCAGGGTCTGTGGAGGGTTTCAGTGCTTCAGTCTCCAGGAGAGGTGCTGAGCACTACAGAAAATGACATTCTGTAGTTCTGGCCTCTGGCATACCCTAGTAAAGTCTGTTCATGTTACATTGCCACATCCATGAAGTGAGTGCTTGCCTGTCTTTCTTCACAAGCTTCTTGCAATAGTGCCTCTCCAAAACTGCCTTTGAAATCTTATTCAACCTTTGTCTGCCATTCTAGTGCACACACAGAGTTCTCTGCTCTATCTGTCTACATGCATGGCAAGAAGAATGTGGTGCTGGTAACAATTTTCAAGTGAATGCTAAAGTAATGGACAGGAAAAGCAGAGATGTAATTTTTCGTCCTGAGAATTCTTACTTGTGAGTGTGCAACTTCCTGATAGCCCAGGGCAGTGAGCACCACTGTCAGATGTGTTGTAAAACCCTGGAGATGCAGAGCAGGCAGGGCTGTTCATGCAGCTCCCTGCAGCTGGTGGTGTGGGTGAACAAGCATCCAAGCAAGCCAGTCCCTGCTCCTCTGCACTCACACCCAAAGGTCACTTGGCTACTCAGGCGAGAAATAATGTATGTTCCCAAGGTGAAGTAGATTGTTATCCAATGAAGCAACATGATAAGTTACAAACTGATGGTGTTTTATGTCCCTGCCAGAGGTGTGCTTTGTCCCCTGTGCTACCAGCTGAAGAGCTGCCTGCAGTTTGGGGCAGCTGAGTTTGGCTGGAAAGTGATGCTAGCAGTGAGGGATGGAGGAGATGGCTCTGTTCCAGCAGCAGGGTTCTGTCCTCAGCATCAGTTTGGCACCACACTGTCTGCACACTGGCTTCTCTGTTCCTGAATGGCGGCAGACAGAAACATGCACCCACTGATACACTGACCCCTTTACCTCTCCTCTCAGCCTCGATTGTCCCAGAAGTCCCCTCCAAAACCATTTTGGGTTTCCCAGACATATCTCAGCCAGTCTGGCCGAGTGGCCATAACGGGATGTGATGGCAGTGGGGCGGCAGTGGCTTTTTTCTGGGGGGGGCACCAATCCTGAGCAGAGCCGCGGGCTGGCACGGAGGGCTGTGGATGAGCACAGCCCGAGCTCAGAGCCCCTGCTCCTGTGCGGTCCCCCTGGCAGCTCCCTCCCAGCCCCCGGCAGTCGGGCCAGGCGCCCCTCGCCCAGGCTGGGGCTCGGGGAGGTGCCTGGCACGGTGGGCACCGAGCGGGGGAATGACCGGGGCACGGAGCGGAGAAAGGCAGCACAAAGAGCCGGCCGAGGAGGGCTGCAAACCCCATCACCGGGGAGGGGGCTCCTGCACCGCGGTTCCCTGAGCCGGAGCTGCAGCCCCGGCCCCGCACGGCCCATTGTCCCCGTCCTGCCCTGCCCCGTCCCCGCAGCCGCCGCAGGTACCTTCCTCAGCAGCCGGAGGATGTGCACGGCGTGCTCCCGCTTGTGCTCCCGGATGGTGGCCTGGATCTCCCGCAGCCACCCCACCCGCCGCACGTAGGGCGCGGGCGAGGCTTTCCGCAGCACCCCGGGCAGCTTCTGCGGGTGCAGGAGCAGGGAGGAGAGGTGGAAGTCGCCCCGGCCGCTCTCCAGCCTGCCGGGGCAGGGCTCCTCGCCGCTCTCCTCCTCCAGGCTGCTCTGCCGGCTCAGCCGGGAGCCCATGGCCGCGCTCCGGACCGCGCGGGCTCCGCGCTGTGGGCCGGGGGAGGTGCCGGGGAAGGCGGGGGGTCCGGGCAGCCCCGCCCGGCCGGCCCCGCCCCGGCTCCCCGAGCGCCCGACGCTCCCGCAGGAGCAACGCCCCGGGCTCCGCTCCTGCGGGGCTCCGTGCCCAGCAGCCGCTTCCCCGGCGGCCGGGCAGCCCCGCTGCCTCTGCTCCCGAGGCGCCTCCTCCTCCCGGGTTTGTTCTGCCGGGAGATGCTCGGTGGGGAAGACAAAGAGAGACGCGGGTGCTGCCGAGACTGCTCCTTCCATCCAGGCATTTTGGGGAGCTATTTTATCCCCGGACAAACTCTTTGAACATCGCAAAAGGTTGTCTAGATTAATAGTAGTTCAGAACACACCATCTGCAGGGACTGCTTCTGTGGGCTGTGTTTTCTATCAGTCTGCTGTTGGACCCAGAGGAGGTGTTTTACTAATCTAGAAAGTGGCAGGAATTTTGCCCACCACCCGTCATCTGCAACTGATAGTACGATGCTGGCACTGTTCCTCACCTGCTGTGGGTAGAACTGTTTTCCTTGTATGCATTCTTCCCTCCTCCAGCAGTGCACAGCAAGTTTAGCACATGCTTTTCTTCAGACAAAATCACTGCCATCCAACAGGATGGTGAAAAAGAAAGATTGGATCCCATCTCAGGCCACCGAGATTTTGCAGGCAGCTCAGTCCCAGCAGAACCAGTGGCTCAGCCTGACCTAGTTTTTGGAATTGGATCCATAAGCTTACTTCTGTTCAGGATTATCACCACAGTGAGCCCTGGTGCCCACAGCAGTCTGGGAGTCCTGCATGCAGAGCAGAGGTGTCTGGTACCTGTAATGTGAGGGCACACAGCTGTAGAAACAACCTGGGGTTCCCACTGGCTCGTGCAGCCATGGACAAGCATCATCCAATGCACCTGTGGAAGGATGTTGTGGCTATTGGGCTCTCTCTTTGGGGGAATGGGCATGGCTATGGCTCCAGAGCCTGCAAGGATCATTTTCCTTCTCAGCCTTCCTCTGAGCCATGAAAGAGGATGGAGGTGTGACATCATGACAGCCTCTTTCAAATCCTCTGCTGGTGACCCCCGGCTGGCTTGAAGAGACAGAGACAAGAAGGGGCTGGACTCTAAAGCAGGCTGGCTAATGCATTAATTCTGTCACAGTGTTTGTGCAGCTCTCTAACCATGGTAGGCCAGATTCTGAAGGTCCTTCTCAGAATTTTACTCAGTGTTTGATCAGACAAAAGCCCTGATTGTCCATCTGCCTGTCAGTCCCCTCTCTGCTCTAAGCACCTTCGTGAAGGAAATTAGCATCAACAGATCTTGAGATATGGCTGAGACTGACTCAAGCTAATCCCACTTGGAGGGAGTAGATGCTGAGTAAGGACTTCTGGATCTGGTCAGAGAGCTTTGAGAGAGGCTGGGTCAAGAGAAAATCACTGATATGGGGTGCAGTGTAACAGCTGCAGAATTGTCACTGGGAGCAAAGGGAAGGACAAAAAGTGCTGGAGCAATGGGTAAAGGTGTCAGAGGAGGGGTGCACAGTGCCTTTCTCTGCTGTCTGGCAGCTGGACAGGCTGTCTCAGATCCGTGCTCCTGCCTGCTCTGCTCCGAGTGCCGCTGAAAGGAGCAGCAGCGATAGTGGATTTGGAACCAAAGGATCAGTTCATCAGCAGAATGGCTTTATATGGCTCAATTGTCTCACACCTTATCTCTCAGAGTCAGAAGGAAACACAATCTGCAGTTTACTCATAGTGGGGATGAAAGCAGGTGGATTGTTCTGAGGCAGTGAGAGAACCAGGGCACACAAGCGGCTCCGAGGATGGCACTGTTACCAGGATACCCCTCCTCTGCCTGTGACTTGGAAATATCCTGCCACAGAGCAAATCCTCTTAACAAACAAACAATTGCAAGGGCAGTTCAGCTGCCTCCCAGCTGTGCTTTAGCACTGGAAACACTACAATAGCATGGATAATGGGAGCTAATGAGAAACACACCAGTGCTCCACTTGGCTTCACTGAAGGAGAATGCCTGGCTGGCAGCTCTCTGCAGACTGAGAGATAATCCTGCCCTGAGTGTGCTTTCAAATGACAGGGAGTGGAGGTACTTCTGTGGCTGAGATGACGGCAAGGGGTGGAGGCAGGAGTTTGCTTGGACAGAATGGACTCTTCTGTCAGTCTGTATCCTCTGCTCTCAATGCAGTCCTAGGAGAGAGTGGCTGAGCATGCAAGACCTGGGAGATACCAACCTACTGGAGTGTCCCCACCTTTCTTTCATCTCTGCTGCAGTGTCAAGGGCACCCGTAAGCTTTACATAGAGATAGATCAGCTCATGAGCTTGTTTGGTACAACAGAGTGGGAGCTGTAGGGTTTCTCACAACGACCACAAGCTGTGGGTTTCAGACTTGGAAATCCCATCCCTGTGGATATTTTAGCACCTCTCAGAAGGATGTTAACTTGTTTCTAAACTGAATGCGGGGTACATGGTGCTGCCAACTGCATCTAGCTGGGTGCAGCATGACTGAGTCAATTTTACCAAAAATTGCTCCTAACATGAGAAATGGGAAAAATGGAAAGCAGAGATCCTTTCGCTATTCACTCAAATCCTGTGCTATAAGCACATCCCCTTGTTATCACCCAAGTGCCCAGGAATGGGAATGCTCACAGGTCCTGGTCTTTCAGGCAAGTGAGGAGAGCTCAGATCAGTGCCAGAACAGAACAACAACTGTCCTGGATCACACCCCAGGCCTCTTTCCCCTGGGATCCTCAATTAGCAATGGTTAATAGAGGATGTCCAGCAAGAAGGATAACAGGGGGATGTGGGTCAGTGTGTTGCTGAGTACTCTCCTTACCATCAGCCATCAGTTACCATCAGTTCAGGAATTTCCTGAGATGTGGATCTCTGCATTTAATAGTCTTTTCAGATTTTTCCTAAACCCTTTTTCGAGCCTGAGAAAATTTTGTGTATCCACAGCAACTTAAGGCACTGTTCAGCTGTGTGAAGAAATATTTACTTAGTTCTGAATCTGTCACTCACTGTTTTCATTTGATGCTTTTGTAGCTTAAATATTGGAAGAGGCAGCAGGCAGTCATTCCTCATTAATTTCCTCCAAGTGACTCTCAGATAAACCTCTGCTGTGCCCTCTCTCAGGTTTCCGCTGCCTAAATTGAAGTATTGCACTTGTACAGAAACCATTTCAGCCCTTAATTCACCCTTAACTACGTCCCTGCCTCTCCTCTAGCCCTGCCGTAGCCGCTGCTGCACTGGGACAGCAGCCATGGGGCTGCAGCTGCACCCTGGAGCTACCTGGGAGCACACTGGCTTTGTGATTTTGCTCTGGCTGCCAGCTCTCACTTGGATTGTTTTGATTGTGTTTGAGCCTTGAGCTGATGCTTTCACTGAACACTCCTGCCTTGCTCTTGCTACCACTTGGCCCCCGTGACTCAGTTTCCCATTAATAAGCTGGGGAGGGGATAATCCTTGCTCACCCCATTTATGAATTCACACTGGCAGTCATGGGCAGGGATTTCCAAGGCCTCATTTCCATGTTGCCCATCCCTGCAGGGTCTGTGGCCTGTGCAGCGCTGGGCTGCGAGTTTGGGCTCCTGTCTATGGCTGGGGAAGGTTGTGGCTCCTCCCTGCCACTGCCTGGAGTGTTCAGTGCCTTGTGCCCCAGCCTGTTTGTGCAGTGCCCGGTGCCACAGCTCTCCCTGCGGAGCTGGAGCCTTTTCCCTCGGCACAGCCGCGCTGTGACCGCAATTCCAATGGCCCCTGCCCGCAAGGGAGCCTGCCCGCTCACGGGGCTGCTCTCATTTGTATGCTGGTCAAGCTGGCTTCCAATGACAATCCCAGTTATGTTTGCCTTGTGTATGATGAAGGTTACGTTTCTGACTGATTTTGCCGGGCTGGAAATGTAATTGATTAATTTAGTGCTTAAGAAGGGAAAGAGGATTAAGGCGGAGGTGAGGCTGTGCTGCCAGACATTGCATTGACTGCCTCACACTTTCACAGCTTCAGCTTTTGTTTGCCTGCAAACCAGCTTGTCTGAGCTCCCAAGTTGTTATTTCTCGTGGCTCTGAGCTTGTTGGCAGATCCCTCAAAGCCAAGGCTCCTGCGGGGAAGGGAGCTGTAGCTCTGGAGAGATACATGCAGAGAGCTAGTGCAGGCTCCAGATTTAATTCCATTGTATCTAGGGGCAAATGCACTTGCTGTTTGGCCATGAGCTGTTCATGTGGGAGCTCCATATCCCAGATAGCTGTAAGCTCTTGACTGAACAAAGCAGCAGACCTGCAGAAGGTCCATCTGTCCATGACAGTGCAGTTTTGGGGAAGAAGTCTGCTTAATGACAAGCATTAGGGGGATTTCTTCCTTGAAACTGCAGAGTACATGGAGATGGGGAGATACAAGATGAACACAGCATCAGCTGGGCTGTGGTCTTGGGGACTTCTGCACCATCAGTGCTGGTGGAAGCAGCTGCATGCAGGCAGTCACTGCTGGGACTCTGCATTTGATGGAGAAATGGTAGCAATAGCCCATGGAACATTCATTAGGTCTTAAACCTTTTGCTTCTTGCAGCTGAGGCTCTCTTTGCAGCCCATGAGACCTTTGGTGGTTCTCTGGGTCTGAGGCAGTGATGGGTTTTCAAAAGGACAGAGTTCTGCTACGTAATTATGGGCACTGGCCTGCTCCTTATTGGACTAATTAATCAAGTTCTTGCAGTGCCCGTAAAAGCAGATTTGCTGGGCTGTATAGAGAATATTAACAACCTGTGATCTTGTGGTCACAGTGAAATTGGACAGCACCGCTGTGAGCACAGGGAAGGTCACCAGTCTGCTCCAGTGACGCATGGCATTACCTTGACTTCTTAGCACAGGGGAATTCTGAGCTTCTGCTGCTCCCACAGTGAGTCAATTAGGGAACTGAGATGCATGGAGGATTTCTGTTACCTCCTTTCTGGGAGCATGCTGCACTA